GTATTTCAGCAAAAAATGAGGAAGTGTGTCAAGAGAGAGAACATGAGCACTCAGATATCTGATGCGTCTGAATACATTGCTGCCGACCAGACAAAAAAAAATGCTACTCTACAGAAGGAAATATGAGTAATCCAGGGTAAACACCTGTCTCTGTAAATGCCAGACATTTCATTATGCTAAAACAAAGGGACAAAGAAAACAGACACAACAGTATATGAGTTGCATACACACACACACACACACACAATATATATATATATATATATATATATATATATATATATATATATATATATATATATACACATATATATATATATATATATATATATATATATATACACACTGCTTAAAAAAATTAAAGGAACACTTTGAAAACACATCAGATCTCAATGGGGAAAAATATCATGCTGGATATCTATACTGATATGGACTGAGTAATGGGTTAGGAACGAAAGGATGCCACATTGTTTGATGGAAATGAAAATTATCAACCTACAGAGGGCTGAATTCAAAGACACCCTGAAAATCAAAGTGAAAAAATGATGCAGCAGGCTAGTCCATTTTGCTGAAATTTCATTGCAGCAACTCAAAATGGTACTCAGTAGTTTTTATGGCCTCCACATGCTTATATGAGATGACGGATGGTATCCTGGGGTATTTCCTCCCAGATCTGGACCAGGGCATCACCGAGCTCCTGGACAGTCTGAGGTGCAACCTGGCGGCATTGGATGGACTGAAACATAATGTCCCAGAGGTGTTCTATTGGATTTAGGTCAGACAATGGGTCCAAGGATTTCACCCCGATACCTAATGGCAGTCAGGGTGCCATTGTCTAGCCTGTAGAGGTCTGTGTGTCCCTCCATGGATATGCCTCCTCAGACCATCACTGACCCACCACCAAACCGGTCATGCTGAACGGTGTTACAGGCAGCATAACCTTCTTCACGGCTTCTCCAGACCCTTTCACGTCTGTCACATGTGCTCAGGGTGAACCTGCTCTCATCTGTGAAAGCACAGGGCACCAGTGGCGGACCTGCCAATTCTGGTGTTCAATGGCAAATGCCAATCGAGCTCCACGGTGCCGGGCAGTGAGCACAGGGCCCACTAGAGGACGTCAGGCCCTCAGGCCACCCTCATGAAGTCTGTTTCTGATTGTTTGGTCAGAGACATTCACACCAGTGGCCTGCTGGAGGTCATTTTGTAGGGCTCTGGCAGTGCTCATCCTGTTCCTCCTTGCACAAAGGAGCAGATACCGGTCCTGCTGATGGGTTAAGGACCTTCTACAGCCCTGTCCAGCTCTCCTAGAGTAACTGCCTGTCTCCTGGAATCTCCTCCATGCTCTTGAGACTGTGCTGGGAGACACAGCAAACCTTCTAGCAATGGCACATATTGATGTGCCATCCTGGAGGAGTTGGACTGCCTGTGCAACCTCTGTAGGGTCCAGGTATCGCCTCATGCTACCAGTAGTGACACTGACCCTAGCCAAATGCAAAACTAGTGAAAAACAATCAGAAAAGATGAGTAGGGGAAAAAATGTCAGTGGCCTCCACCTGTAAAACCATTCATGTTTTGGGGGTCGTCTCATTGTTGCCCATTTAGTGCACCTGTTGTTAATTTCATTAACACCAAAGCAGCTGAAACTGATTAACAACCCCCTCTGCTACTTAACTGACCAGATCAATATCCCAGGAGTTTAACTGACTTGATGCTGTATTCCTGATGCTATATTAAAAAGTGTTCCTTTAATTTTTTTGAGCAGTGTATATACAGTCATGTGAAAAAATTAGGACACCCCATTAAATATTCAGTTCTTTATTAAGAAATGTCAACATGTCAATTTCTGGTCTTGTTTTAATTTGTACCTGTAGATGAAAGTGATGTAATTGCATGTAAACAACAACAAAAAAAATCACTTTGTTTTCACTTATTAAACAAAAGAAATCAACAAAAATGAGTATTTCAACTGAGGAAAAAGTTAGGACACCCTATGCCCTAATAGCTAGTGTTTCCACCTTTGGCAGAAATAACCTCAATGAGACAGCCATCTACCAGTTTCTGACATCGACTGGAAGAAAGATTCCCCCACTCCTCAATGCAGAATTCTTTCAGCTGTGTGATGTTTGAGGGTTTTCTAGCATGCACAGTCCATTTCAAATCACCCCACAGGATCTCAGTAGGATTTAGATCTGGGCTTTGACTTGGCCATTCCAGAACTCTCCATTTTTTACTTTTCAGCCAGTTCTTGTTGCATTTACTGGTATATTTTGGGTCATTGTCATGTTGCAAGGTCCAGTTCTGCTTCAGCTTCAATTTTTTGACAGATGGTCTCACATGTTCCTCAAGCACCTTCTGATACAATGTAGAATTCATAGTGGATTCTATGATGGTGAGCTGGCCAGGTCCTGCTGCAGCAAAGCATTCCCAAACCATAACACTTCTACCTCCATGTTTTACAGTTGGTATGAGGTTCTTTTGCTGAAATGCTGCATTTGGTTTATGCCAAACATGCCCTCTGTTATGGTGTCCAAATAATTCAATTTTAGACTCATCTGTCCAAAGCACATTGTGTCTTTGCCTTTGTCTATGTGTTCTTTGGCAAACTTCAGTCTTGCCCTCATGTTTTTCTTAGGCAGCAAAGGTTTCCTCCTTGCACACCTCCCATGATAATGATTGTGCAGTCTCTTTCTGATTGTAGATTCATGCACTTTGACATCAACTGTAGCAAGAGCTTGCTGTAGGTCCAGTGATGATATTTAGTGTTTTTGGCGACTTGTTTAAAGAATCCTGCGGTCTGCTCTTGGGTTGAATTTGCTTGGACGGCCTGACCTGGCCATGTTGGCAGTTGTTTTAAATGTTCTCCACTTGTAAATGATTTTCCAGACAGTGGAATGGCTGATTACAAATTCTTTTGAGATCTTCTTTCTGAAGACTTCAGAGAGCTCTTTGGATCTCACCATGGTGATACCTCTCACTTCAACAATTAAGAGCAAACCAAACTAAATGTCTGAGGTTTAAATAAGTCAAGCCACCTTCAAAATGCTCTGTAAAGATGTTCTAATAATTTGCACCTGATACACCTGTAGGTAATTTTAGCTCTTTTAAGTACAAATAAAGGTGGGGGTGTCCTTACTTTTTCTTCACAAGAAATTGGATTTTTTTTTTAATTACATTTTACAGATAATTTCAAAAAGACTTTTCTTTGGTTTTACTTGTTTAGTTATATTACTTGAATCTCCCAATATTGTTAAAATGAAGATCAAATGTCCATATGTTTAAAAAAAACACAGGCTTTCATGGGGTGTCCTAGTTTTTTCACATGACTGTATGTATATATATATATATATATACACACACACACACACACACACATATATATATATATATATATATATATATATATATATATATATATATACTATGGACCCTCAAGCCCTCAAGGTAAAATGGGTATTTATTGATGCAGTATGATGTGATAAAATGTAACCAATGTTATTGGTTTTGATTTCTTGCAGCTGGAATTATTAGATTATTGCTGGACACTTAAATGAAAAGAATCAGACAATGGGTACAAGACAACAGCAGCAAAACACTGGTAACACTACAATACTGTTCTTCAACTCATAGGTAACTATGCAGGAACTAAGCAGGAACAAATGAGTCATTCTTCATTAACACTTATCTCATGCCTAGTGACTACTAGATAATTACTAAGCCTTACATTTCTCCTGCAGAATGACTAGCTAACTATGGCTCCTTTATACTAACTACTGATTAAGTACTGACCATATTGACATTAATTCCCAAAAGCTAAGCCTTACCTTCCTCCTGGAGATCCAGTGTGTCACCAACACATTTTTAAATTAGGGAAACTAGTGCAATGTGTTAGCACTATCATGATTAAATTCTTTACATACAATGAAAGTCAATTTCCTGTTTTGTTTATACGATACAAATAATTTAACATTATATTTATGTTCCATTTGAAGAGCTGTCATGATCATTAAATTTTTATTGGGACCGAACACTTTTGTAAAAAAAAAAAAAAAAAAAAAAAAAAAAATGTTTTCCAGCAGTGATAATTAATTTTAAAAATCAATTAAATCAAAGTAATTAATTATTCATTACTAATTACAGTGGATATAAAAAATCTACACACCCCTGTTAAAATGGCAGGTTTTTGCGATGTAAAAAAAAATTAAACCAAGATAAATCATGTCAGAACTTTTTCCACCTTCAATGCGAAATTACAACTTATAAAAATTAAGTTTGAATTTTAATGACCTAGCCAGAGCCCAGACCTGAATCCAACTAAAAATCTGTGGGGTGACCTGAAGCGGGCTGTGCACAGAAGATACCCTTAAAATATGATGGATCTAGAATGTTTTTGGAAGAAAGAGTGAGAAAATATTGCCAGGTAAAGATGTGCCGCACTGATAGACTCTTAGCCAAAAAGTCTGAGTGATGTAATATAATCAAAAGGTGCTTCAACAATGCATTAGTTTAGGGGTGTGCACACTTATGCAACCAGGTTAATGTAAGTTTTTGTTTTGTTTTTTTTTCCCCTAAAATACAACTGATTGTTTTTCGCTTAATTTTCCTACGTTGTAATTTCACATTGAGGGTGGAAAAAGTTCTGACATTATTTATCTTGGTTTCATTTTTTTACATCATAAAAACCTGCCATTTTAACAGGGGTGTGTAGACTTTTTATATCCACTGTACAACATCAAAGTTTTATTTAAATTACTGACTAATTACTCTGTCTGAAAAGTAATTTCAATACTCATTACTAATTACTTATCAAAATTCATATCAACCTTGACCACATGGACAATAGAAATGAAATTTTGTTGTTGTTCTTCTTCTTTCAGCTGCTCCCGTTAGGCTTCGCCACAATGGCTCATTGGTCCGCATATTTGATTTGGCACAGTTTTCACGCTGGATGCCCTCCCTGATGCAACCCTTCCCAATTTTATCCACGCAGTGGCTGGGGTCGGTTCCCTGGCCGGGAATCGAGCCCAGGCTACGGTGGTGAGAGCGCCGAGGCCTAACCACTAGTCCTCCAGGGACTCAAATGAAACTGTTCAATTCTTTAAATTTGAGTCAAACATTGAATAGTTTAGCCTATTAAGCATAGCTTAATAAAACAAATGATATAAACTGGCTTAACAATAAAAGCTACTAAAAGAAAGCAACTCCTGACTCAATAAGCCATAATAAAACTGTAGTTTCAGTAATTCAACACAACTAATTTAGTTATCAGTTATATAGTTAAGATATTAATAAAAAAAAAAAAACAAGATTAACTGGATAAGGTAAACATGTAACAGGCTGTAAACATTAAACCTTTCAGCAAAATGTCTACAGTGCGCAGTGGTAGCATCTCTTCTATATACCCTGCTATCAGTTTTCTAAGCCCACCTTCAGACGCTTTCTGTATTGCTGATGTAAAATCAAGTTTCGCCTGCTTAACAGTTTCTGAGCTTGCCTCAGTTTCCTCCGTCGCTGTACACGGATCACTCAAAAGTGTTTGTCTATGTTGCTGTGTCAGGTGGTTCAGTAGGTTACATGTGCTTCGGAGGGAGGCCGATAGTGTTTTTTACCCAGGACATAACTTACATATTACCATGATGTTCTTGTCTATACAAAATTAAGTAATGAGAAAGTCTATACAGTATGTAGTGCAAGTACATCATAAGTAACCGTAATTACTTAAAAATGAAGAGTAATCCCTTATTTTACTTTTTTCAGGGGGAAAGTAATTTCATTACAGTAAACATACACCCAACACTGTTCTCCAGTATAATAAAAATCTTTTTTTTAACTACAAACAACCCAGTTGTGCTGCAGTAGTTTGGAGTCACCTGCAGAGGGCAGCATGCACATGAATGTCACTGTGAACTCACCTTGGGTTTGTGCTTGTTTCCAATTATTCACAATAACACACTCCTTCTCATGTTCTATTGGTTAATTAAATTTCATTCAGCTTGAGTTATTCTGAAAAAATCTTATCTGAGCCTAAGCCATTCTGCAGCTTATTAGCCTCAAGTCAAAATTAGACTCAAGTATTGATCAAACAATAAATATCAAAATTATTTTTATGATAGATTGATCCTGGTGATTAATAGCCACTTGACCTCATGTCTTCATACATTATATGGTCATATGTGGGCCTTCCATAAACTGTTGCCACAATGCACACAATTGTCTAGAATGTCTTTGTATGCTGTAGCATTAAGATTTCCCTTCAGTGGAACTAAGGGGCCTAGCTCAAACTTGTTCCAACATGATAATACCCTGTGCACGAAGCAATATCCACAAAGACATGGTTTGCCAACGTTAGAGTGTAAGAACTTCAGTGGCCTGCACAGAGCCCTGACCTCAATGCCACTGAACACCTTTGGGATTTGGAATGCCAACTGCACCCCAGGCCTCCTTGCCCGATATCAGTGCCTGATCTCACTAATGCTCTTGTAGCTGAATGGACAAATCCCCACAGCATGCTCCAAACTCTAGTGGAAAGCCTTGGTGGAGTGGAGGTTATTATAAAACCAAAGTGGGGACTAAATCTGGAATGGAATGTTCAAAAAGCACAGATAGGTGTGATGGTCAGGTGTCCACAAACTTTTGACCATATAGTGTATTACTCCCTTGATGACATTAAGCATTTAAATGCATATAAATTTTCTAGTAATATAAAATTGTATAGAAATTCTGAAAGGTGTCTTGGGCTTTTGTATTTGTTTCACAGACCTGCCTAATATCTGTATACTTCATTTATTTTTCTGTGTTTTAATTCACCTGCAAGATTTCTAGGTTATACTGAACCTTGAATTCATCAAGGACAATACGGTTTTAAATTAATATATAAATTCATTTGGCTATTAACATATTTCCAGTGCAATTGAGAAATCAAGGAGTACACCAATCTAATGTACTTACATCCTCTAAATATGCTACAACATAGTAAATAATTTCATCTTGAAATCCAAGACCATTTAAAATAGATCCTTAGAGTGGTACATTGAATAATAGTTCTTCAGGAGAGTAGTAGTGCTTCAAGAGTTATAGAGGCACTGTGTAAAGATCTGCGTGTCTGTCCTATACCTTGCAACATTCTAAGCAAAATGAGCCAAAAATTTGACACAGATCTGTGAGAACAAGCATGGTATATAATAACACTCACTGTTGTACGACTAATCACATCTTGATAACTTTTGCTGTATCTCTGTGCTATTTTTATGAAGTTATTTTTCACATATGAATTCTATGTACTATTGTGACTACTCTAAGAGTTCGCCCTCCATTCATAAGTGGTGCTCAACTACACCCCCACCGCCACAACTATATACTATGTTCCAGATCAGAGTGAATACTATAAACAACAGCATACCTTACATGATAAAGTAAAGTTTTGTCAAGTAAGATTCACAGACTCTAGTCTATGGACCTGAACACCATTCTTACAAAACACATTTATACTCATTATACTCAATTAGTTGTTAGATGCATAAATGAGTGAATGAAAGGAAAGAAACAACGATTCCTGTTCTTAACTCAGTTTGCGACTGACATTCAGGAGGTGTTCAGGAGAAAACTCTTTAAAGACTGTACACTAATCCTACAGAACAGATAACTGAGTCTTCCATCATCCAACTTTGCAAACTCATCACTTACAATCAAATAATAATGTTAACAAAAATAGAATCTTAAGACTGATATTGTGAATGCACTGTATGTGCTTGATATAGGTATTAACAGGCTAGAAAACAAAAAAAAAACATTCATGATCTAAAGTTTTTGGCTTTTTATTTTGTACTTTTGACCATCAAAAAATCAATTCAACAGCTTTCATTGGGAATTGTCTGACTGCTGGAAGGTTACGTATGTACCCATGGTTCTATGAATGAGGACATGAAACATCTTGTATGGGCACCTCTCCAGACACTAACAGACAGTATTCATAAATAGTGCTGACAACATACTTTATTGAGGATGAAAATCAGAGTGTTTATACTGCTCCATACTGAGGATATGAATTACTCAGTTGCTGATACTGTTCTTTATTAAGGATGAGAATCACTGAAAGTTCTAACACTGCTCTTTCATTGATTTGTATGGCAAGTCGCATAAACTGCTTAACACCAGTTAAGTCCAGGCATCATTATGGGTCCATTGAGTTGTGTGAAGGTTAGTGAAATTCCATGTTTTTAAGAAAGATTTTGACTAGTTTATGCACTCCCAGGGGCAAATCGTCTGTCTGTCCCTGTTACGAGGACAATGCTGCCACTTCACTTGTAGGGTAGACCCGGAAAGAGATGCTTCTAGCTGGCCCAAAAATATCATTCATTGTGCAAATAAGGGGTTTATGCCCAGTGTTTCACACTTTAGTGAGGACAATTACCACTTCATACAACTGGTCAAGATGGTGCAAACACAAGAATGTGTCTGACCATTTCGAACATGCTAGTGTGCTGGGGTCACTCCCAGGGCCATAGTCATCATCTCAAGATGTGTGGTTTGTGGTGCCACAGTGGCCTGTTCATCTGTTTGGCAAAAATGGGGCTATTAGCACACAGAATACACAGTCCATAAGATATGCTGCACTGCCATCCACAGCAGAAGAATCAGTGGAAGATCATACAACTATAGATTTGTCCAATCATGCTACAATGCAGCCTGGACAAAGCATTGTTCTCTGCCATGTCCGTGAACCATATCCATTCATAGGACAGCTTTGTCTTCTATTACGAAGTCTTGTAGAACAGTGTGTGTAGGAATCAAGTGACTCTTTTCATTATTGACATGATTGACAAATGATCAGGACATTTGTCTGGCTCAAGAGCTGCTCCTGGGACTGTCCATCTCGCAGCCAATTGTCCAGATAAAGAGTCTCTATTGCCTGTTTCTGTAGTAGGGGCTGCACTTTACTTAGTATTTTGTGTGTTTTGTTTTTGTGTGCTTTTGTGGGGCAGAAACATATGTTTGATAAGTTAGCATTTAAATGTGTGCAATAGTATTGCTGGGTTGGATGATCAGGCTGCGCATTTAGGCAAATTATGCAACCAAACAAATCATTTTACTGGAGAGACTCAATTAACTCAAGTCATTGAACATACTCAAGAATTTCAGCTTTACTGATGGCAGCCAAAGGCAAATAAAGGTAGCCTGCTGCATCAAAATGTCCAGTTTGTGTCTCAGGCAGAAGGTTTAGTGTCTGTGTGCCAAAGACCTGTCCAGGTTTTAGCAGCCGTTCATGCAGAATATTTATACCAGGCTTCCAGGAATGGCGTTTGAGCCCTGTGCCTAGGATACAACCCACATTCACCATAGCATCATATACTTTGCCAACTAGCACGTCAGCTAGTATTATATTCAGCTGCATGCTGCACTGACTTACGAGCGAAGCTTCATCAGCTTGTACCAATAGTGAGCCCATCACTGTCAGTACCGGAGGCATTCTTCTTCTGCATCTGCCATTGAAGTCAGTATATATGCCCTCTTCTTAGGTCACAGTTTCAATGTGCTTTTGAGTGTGCATAAGGGCTCTTTAATGAAGTTTATACATTGAGGGATAGCCCAGTCACATGAATTGGGTTTGGTATTTGATCAGCTGTGTCGAGTGGAAATTTAATTAAGACAGCCTTATTATCAGCCTGCAGTGCATTTGCCGCTGCCGAGCCATACTCCTACATTACACTCTGTTCATCAGAATGCTTCGAGGGTGGGCTGTCAGCACTGTCTCCACCGCCACTCTCTCTCTTCTTCCTAGGGCTCCTCAGATGCACACTCAGATCCTGCTGTTCACTTCACTGCCTGCTGCGTCCATGCAGTGGCATTATGCTTCAGTTAAGTCTCTGTAAATGCATGTCAAAGATGCTTTGGTCCCAAACAATATAGTCACTGTCCATCATTCAGCTCCGTGTGGGCCTACCAGCACAAACAGCTTACAAGATATGAACAGCCGAGCTGCAGGTTAGAAGGGCAGGTTAGAAATTGATCTGTAGTTACTGAGCTCCTCAGGGTAATGACTGTTTGAGTTTCACTGGAATCCACTAAGGTGTTCATG